AGTCGTACTCTAGAAGATGTTGAATCTTGATACAAGGACAACATGGATCATCACATCTCTACCATCAACACTATGCTCAAGGTTCATGATGATATGATTTCTGCTACGAACACCCTGATAAAGCAAACTCACAATTTCCATGAGAAACAGATTCAGAGGTTGGAAAAAGAGATTCATCACAAAAACGCCATGAACTTGGTTATGCAAGAAATACTCATCAAGGTCATTAGTTCAACTCAACATCATCTGGACATTCTGAACTACAAGTTTGGAGAAATGCTCCTTATCTCGATGAAACCTTTGATCACCTTAAAGCTCAGGCTCCAACTGCAAAAGCCTATGATTCGCTTTCCAGGTAAACCAAACTGAGTTTTCAGCATGTGTTTGAGAGCTTATCCGAGCTCAAGAGGAAGAGAACATCAAGGAAATCAACAACAACAAACTATTCGATGGAGATCTATCTCGGATTTTTCTCTCCGAGATTAACATTATGATAAAGAGATAGTGTAACGAGATGTGTCTAAATCCGAAGATGATGAATATGATGTTGTTAAAGATGTGATTCTTGGTCTTCAAGCTATCAAGGAACCACCTGCAAAAATTATCTTGGAAGCAGAGAAGATGAAAGCTGGCAATCGATGTATTCCGAGCCACTCAGCCAATGCCTCCTCCAATTCCTACTCCGCGAATTGCTTAAATTGATGTAGGTTCTTCCACCCAAAAACCAGATGACATCCCTGAAGAACCCTTGGATCCTCCTTCATCTGATTTGGTAATCACTCAAACTAGACAACAAATGATCTGCTCCATATTATCCCATGAAGAGCAATTAACTGGCAAAGGGAAATGAATTGCAAGTGGTTCTGACAGCCCGGTGAAGTCGTCAAAAAAGTATGAGGGCCGGTGAAAGGAACAATTACAGCAAACACTGGAAGAAAGAATTCAGATTCAAGCACTCAAAGACAATCCCAATCCGATGTTGGGGATTTCTACTTTCTTCCGAGAAGGGCTTCTTCATGATATACATTTTGTGCCCTTTATTTATTTCGATCTTCCACCACACGATGCAGATCAACTTGACCTACCAATCTCTACACATGGACGTTACTACATCAAGTTGGCTCCCTTGAATCCATCTGATGATCCACAAATCATTATCCGAACTAAGCGAGAAAGATTAAGCACCTTCTATTCTATCAACGCACGACTTTAAAAGGAAGTGTAGTCTCAGAAGAAAGGTCCAATACAAGTTTGATATTGACTGTCGTTAGTACCGTTATTTCATATATCAGAACAAGGAATCCACCATCGCCATCACCGATGCAGGCTTTCCCTCAATGAAAGCAAATGACATTCTAGTCATAGTTGCTCATCTCTGAGATTGCTAAACAAAGGAATCAAACATTGGAAGTTACAACTTCGCCATCAGCTTTTTGAAGGACTACATTGATGAATTTTGTAGATCCAATGTGGAGTTTACTCATCTATTTGTAACGGAGAATCATCTGGCCAACATCACCACTAAGCTTCCTGAAGCCCAGATCTCAGTTGAAGGTCTTAGTTGATGGTCCAATCAAAGAACCTGAACTTGGCTATGTCTATCTCAAGGAGAAGTCGAATGAAAAAGAATTTTTCAGATTTATGGACAAACACCTCTTTCCCACATAGATTCTTCAAAAGTTCATTTCAAATGCCACCAAGAGTGATTCCTCTGAGCACAACAAGAAGTTGGTTGAGTATCTTCAATGGTACAATGAAGTCTGAAATTTGCTCTGGAGTGCTTCATTATTTATGTTTGATTAAGCTAAGTGATAACTTGGGTGATTCCTAAGGTCGCTTAGGGGAGATTGTTAGAACATGCAAAGTGATCCTTAAGCAATCTGAGGTGAAGCATATACGAGGCGAAGATGTTTTGAGATGCGTTCCATTCAGAAGTCAAGATTAATCCGAGATACATTATTGTGTAATGTGTTGTGAGTCTGCAATTCACATTTTTTTTATCACAAGTATTATTTTGTTCTTTTGCTATTCTATCTTAGTATAGTACATGGGACAAGATTAACATCAAAGGATGTGTCATTATGTTGATCTTCAGAGTCTAGCAGTCCATGCTTACTTTTTAATAATTGTCTTTTACTTACTCCTTGACTATTTAAGGAGTAGTCACCTTTGTATCAGGAGTGGGATATGCACCTTTGCTATTATGAAGAATTATTATGTCAATCATTATCTCTTATAATCTTCATGTTCTTAAGTTACTTTTCATTGTTCATACTTGTTATTTATTCATACTTTGAGCACACTGTTGATTACCTTAATTCCGAGACAAGACTGGTTAACCAGACATGACGGGATCTTTATTATTAGCAAACATTGATCTTAAGTTAATTCAAGGTTTGAGTTTTCAAACCTTGTCCGCACAAATTTTTTCTTTCACAACGTGATCCTAGAGATTTGACCATTACAACATCCAGGTATCATCTCTTCTTAGATTATTGGGAAACATATCTCTTAGGCATAATATCATAGCTTATAACTACGCATAGTATGTATAGCTACATTATCCTAAGGCTTTAAGCTTTATAAAATGATTTGATATTTATCGTTATTTTGATAAAACCATTTGATAAGCATGTTTTCACCCCCCCGGGTAAAACATTTAATATAGTCAAAATAGGGGTTGTGTACTCACCCCAGTCGCACACAACTTTTGATGTAGGATTGAATCGGGCCCGGGACTCCAGGGATCACACCATATGGTAGCTACATCAAGACTTAGAGAGAGAAATCTGAGGGTTTGTGAAACTGGAATGACACAACCCTCTATTTATAGTTGAGTTTTGGAGGTGTGCACTGGGAAAATATATGTGTGCATCGCGCGTGAAAAACGTGGCTCTATCTAGAATCTTCCACGTGTCACTCCCCCACTTGGCCACGTTTCTCGCAATCTACTCGAATCCGGTGTCAGGTGTGCGACGTGTTGAGATGTGCACCTGGCGCGCACGAATGATTTTTGCAAAAATCATAACTTCTTCATGCAAGCTCCAATCTAAGCCCTCTCTATATCTATGTGATGATCTCAATGGGTACTACAACTCTCCTTTAGGTTGTTTTAGCTAGTTTTGACTTTCATTTTTGTGCCTAATAGGGTTAAAAATAAATGATTTTATAAAAATCATATCTCTGTCAAACGGACTCCATTTTCGGCAAACTTTTTCCTAAATTATATATCTCGAAGAGTACTACGAAACTCCTTTTTGCACTTTTAGTCAAAACGTAACCAATCTCTATGTAGCAATTTGATGTAATTAATTTTAATTATGCGGTTGATTTCCATTTTTATAAAATCGATAACTCTTTCCTTTGAAGTCGGATTTTTACGAATCTTATATCCTTGAGATCTCGTTTACGAGTAGTATCCAAGTATGCTAACCAACTTAGAAAACGTTACAACTTTTTGGACACTAATTTTTTAGCCTAATGGAAGTTTTTATCAAATAAATTTAACAAAACATTTGATTCTTATTATCTCATAAATCAAATATTATAATACTAGGCTATTACATCTATTTTCCTACTCTTTCCTAATGGCGATCATTGACGGAAACCTCTCGGTTGTCACACAAATGGATGTCTAGTTGATAGTCAGGATTATTCTCCAAAACAAATGAAGATTTTAGATTGAGGGGCTACTTCTCAAAGTTCCTAATGGCTTCACTCATCATCCTATCAATAATCCACTAAGGCCATAGTTCCTTTACCATAAGTTCAGTTGCTTCCTTCTCTCTTTACTCTACTTCTTTCTGATCCATTTCAATTTGAAATTGATTCAACCTTTCCAACTCTTCATCATTCTTATTTTTTTCTTCATCATCATTGGGATAAACTTTTGGTTGATTAACTATCCTCATAACACAAGAACTTCAATCTTTAGTTGGAATGATAGTTGTAAGAACTTCTAATTGCTTTCCCAATGGTGAAACCTTAGGCTTCTTTTGCATATTAGTAACCACATAATTGTTCTTAATGTTAATATTCCCCCCCATCTCCCCCTTGTTACGAATTAGTTGCGCTATTCATAACACCAGACAACTGTGAGAGTAAGCGTTGAAGCTTTGCATCCAAAATGGCAGAAATGTAGTCAACGTGTGGATCATCCTTTTTTAAACAATTTTACCAACCTTTGATTTATTTCAAATTTGCGACTCTTCACCATCAACAGTTCATCATATCTCTTGACTAGCTTAGTCTTCTTCAACCTTAATACTTGTTGGAGAGACGTAATCTTTGCTTCTTTTCTTGCAAGTTCACCAACCATCTTTGCTTCACCATCATAATATTGAACCAAAGTATTGATAGACTCAGTAAATTTTGAATTATGAACAGTGTTGTCAAATAAGATAAGAGTATTAAGCTCCTTGAATTCATTCAAATTCATGTCCATCTTTGTAGTAGTCTCATTCACGATTTTATCATGTTCCTAAGATAACCTCTTACTCTCCCAAAGTAGAGTTTTCATAGTGGCTTCATGAGCGCTCATCATATTTTTAAAATTAGAAGTGGAGAAAGCCTCATTGTGTCACACTAACATATTAAGCTTTCGGTATAAACCTTTATAGTCTTTCTTGCTTATTGTAAAATTATCAGTTTTCCCCATCCGATTCACACTCATCCTCAAGTAAGGAAGGAATCAAATTAGATTGATTAAAGGCTTAAAAAGAGGTATTGTTATTACCCACAACGACATCACCATCCAAAGGGTCATTAACAATTAAATCATCATCTTGAGTAATGGGCTCTGAAGTAGGAATGGTAGATGCAGTGGTTATGGTTGTGGTAGATGGAGCAAGAATTGGAATTGTTTGAAGCAAAGAAGAAATAATGGGTTGAGATGTGGTAACATCTTGAATGGTAGGAATAGATTAAGTAGTAGGAGGAGGGTTGGGAGATTGAGAATTATTAACAATGGGTTGTGTAGGATTTGTTTGATAAATTTCTTTTTATGTTGTAGTTGGAATTTGAGTAGTAGTGGGATTTGGAATTGTAGATACATGAGGACCTTGAGAAGCATTAAGATTCATAATTGGAGTTGGAATCAAAACATTAATTTGTCGCTTTGTAGACTTAGGAATATGTTCTGAAGACCTCACAATGTCTTCTTCATTTTTAACATCAGGCTCCACCAGAACATCACTGTTAGTTTTCTCATCCACATCATCCTCCATTTCTTCATCCACAATAGATGGCTTCACTTTCATTTTCAATTTTTGTCGCTTTGTTGGTTTGACAACAAAAACCTCATCTACAACTTCCTTAGCCTTTCGCCTTGCACCGCCTCTAGTTCCCCTTGTAACTACCCCAACATCAAGAATAACTTGTAACTTAACTAAAATTTTCCTTGTATCAAACTTAGGGATCTGCTTGTATATTTAGTGAACTTCATTGTTAGCAGGAACTTTTCTAAGAATCACTTAAGTAATAGACCCAATGTAATGAAAATTAGTATCTGCTAGAAATACGAAATTTGAAACATTCATCTTTTTAATCTCAACCATCCTTACATCATGTACCTATGGTACTTGATTGTGATCATGAGCATGTTTAACGACAATCAACCAAAACCTCGCAAAGGATATTTATGAATCCTTTGTTGATGAAGGTGGACTTTGGTGGAGTTGAGCCTATAACACTTAACCAAAGTCAATTTTCTCTTCTGTATAGATACCATACATCAACTAATGAATTAATTTGTTGGCATTATCTGATCCACTTGTCCTCTATGGGAAGCATTTAAAGAATATTCTGAACATTTCATTCCAAACCATAGACAAAAATGATACTTGAAAGCTAGAAAACTAAGTTAATATAGGAGAATACCCCATCTAATGGACCACCTTAAGTATGATTGTAGAGGAAATAAGTTTCGGATTACAATAAGACTCTCCAGTTGATAAACCCACCAACTTCAAGAAATTGGCTTTTGTATTTACAGTCTTGTGACCCTAAATTTAAAAACTCATCAATTACTTCGATTTATTGTAACTGGCAGTAGAGTAAGCCAATATTAAAGCCTATAATGGAACATCCTCATGGTCAAAAAGAGACTTTTTCAGAACAGGATGATTAAGACATTTAATCAAGGGTTGAACAACAGTAGAATATTTTCGAATGATCGAGAGTAGCAACGAAGTTTTAATTATGCTTAGCACTCGGTGTAACTGAGGATATAGACTAATCTATGAAGGAAATATGATCAGCTGAAGCAATCATTGATGAATAGTTAGAAAGAGCACAAAAAAAAATCAAGATGCAAAGGATTTATGGTAAGTGCTTGAGAGTATTTTGGGTGTGTAAATAGGTAAATAGGTATGGAAAGTGGTATTTTTATTGATAAGGAATGTCAAATGGTTTAATTTTGAATTTCAAATGACTCGTTATAAGTGGTGAGAGAAATTCCAAACACACACATTAAGTACTCATCCAATCCCATGTCAGAATAACAATCTTACAACCCATGCTCATCATCACGTTTTGAATGGTCGAATCACAACTTGAAAACTAATCATTCTTGTAACGGAAATGAAACAACTATCTTTCAAAATCTTCATACAAATCACCATCACAATTAGAATTGTCATCGATATAGGAACCAGTGTCATAACATGATTGACTTTCATAACCAAAACCAAGGTGAGTATTTTGGTGTTTCAACAAACTAATGTTAACAATAATTGGAATCATAAACACAAATTTTGTAAAACCTAATTTCAAGTTGGAATTAACTTTATACGTCAGGGGTTTTAAGTGATATGATTGTGAATTAATTAAAAATAATAGAAAGAAGATGGTAATAATGATTTTAGATCATTAATGTGGAATTGGAAAACCGTAATTTGAAGTTGGTATATAGTTGAAATGTTAAGGGTCTTAGTGTAATTGTGTGATTGTGATAAAGAAATATAGAAAGAAGATTGGTAATGATGTTGGTGTTTCATAAAATTTTTGGTGAAAATGATTTTTGATCATGAACATAGACTTTGTTACACCTAATTTGATATTGGAATTAATTTGAAACATCAAGGGTTTTAAGTGAAAGTGTGTTAAGTGATTATGAAATGTAACAACTAATTTCATCTTGGAATTAATTTGAAACATCAAGGTTTTTAATTTGTAACAGCTAATTTCATCCTGGTTATAAAGACTTTTGATCATAAATACAAGTTTTGTAAAACCATAATTCCAACTTGGCTTAAACTCAAAACATCAAGGGCTTCACTATGACATTGCGAAACCTAAAGTTTCCTCCCTCAATTCATTAGTTTCATTCTTGAACAACTTTTTTTCAATGTCAATTCGTTTGTTTCATGCTAAAACAATAACTATTCATCGTCATTCGTTGTCTTTGAAATTCAAAAATCATCAAAAAAGTAAAAACATTATTGGTTTTTTTAATACTTTTGGGTTTTTTAAAAAATTTTAAGAAAATAAACTCTTTTTAGATTGTTGAATTTTAAAAAAAAATAAATTGGTTTTTTTTGTAAATTTAAGAAAGAAAAATATTTTTGGATTTTTGAAAAAATTTTAGGACACAAAAATTGAAGACTACGACGGCTCACAATCGATCGCAAATGAGCAGTAAACATAAAGAATGAAAAGAAAGAAAAGAAACTGACTACGGCACATTTAGATGGTTCACAACCGATTATAATTGGACAATAATAAGGTACTACGAAACTTACGTGTAGTATAATTGCATGGAAGTTTAGATGTTGTGATGCATCGCAACCCTTCGCAATTTAACATTAACCCTTTTCAATTTGATCTTGGAATTGATTCAACCTCCACCATTGCAAACCCTTGTAATATTCTCATAAATGCAACTTCATGTAATGCCTTCATAAAGATATCAACCAATTGAGCTGATGATTTAACGAAATAAATTTCTACATTCCCATCTTTCATGTGATCTTTAATAAAATGATATTAGAGTGTGATATGATTTGTATTTGAATGTTGCATCAGATTGTAACATGTTCTGATTGCACTCAATGAATCCAAATATAATGGGTTGTTCTTTATATTAATGGCATGGTCTCGAACTTGACTTTGATACCACATGATTTCTGAAGTGCAAGAAGTAGGAACGATGTATTTAGCCTCAGTAGTTGAAATTGATACACATGTTTTCTTATTTGATTTCCAACTGAATAGCTTTCCATATAATGATTAACATACTCTGGAAGTAACCTTGCGATCCAAGCCGCATCCATCCAGATCAACATCGGAATAAGCTTGCACAAAGAAACTCATGTTGGCTGGATACCACAACTCTAAGCAAGTAGTTTTACAAAGGTATCAAAATATGTTCTTCATAGACATCGTGAGGTTCCCATGGATTTGATTGGTACTTTTCATAATAACATACATCAAACATGATATCAGGTTGACTAGACGTAAGATATAACCACCACTCAATCATACTATGGTATAGCATAATGTGAGCTGCTGGTTTTTTAGGTGATAGTTTTTGGTTCGTTCCAAACACCATCGTATCACCATGCATTCCAAATTTTTTAAGTTATATATTTGTAAAACCCTCCCGATTGATGAATATTCAAACTAAGGAAAAAATTAATTGGGCCCATTAATTTCATTTCAAATTTAGTTTCCATTAAATTTTGAAATTTAGCAGTCAATGAAGGCTTCATTGAAACGAAAAAAAATTAAACAACATAAATTACGTCAACCATCAAGTGATCACCATCCTTTTTTTGAAAGAAAGTTTGATCGAATTAACGTTGTTTACATTTGGATTGTTTAAGAAAATGAGTAAGAGTTGCATACATTTCCCTTGGAGCTTGTTTTAGACGATAAATAACTTTGTTTAGAATGTGACAATGGTTTGAATAATTTTCGTTTACAAAACCTGGAGGTTGTTCAAAATACAATTTTTCTTGTAATTCGCCATTCAGAAATGCACATTTAACATCCATTTGAAAAACTTTAAAGTTTTGCGTTTAGCATAAGCTAAGAAAATGTGAACAACTTCTAGTCTCGAAAAAGGGGAAAATGTATCTTCATAATTAATATATGCCCTCCTCCTGACAGTATCCTTTCATAACAAGTCTGACCTTGTTTCACACTATGTTACCTTCTTTTTCTATATTGTTGCGAAATACCGACTTCAATCCTGTGATAGAAGCTTCTCGAGGCGTTGGAATTAAACACTAAACTTTGTTCCTTTCAAATTCATTCACATTGCTTCCATCCAATCAGAATGGTTGAGAGCCATATTTACCATTGTGGTTTAATTTTTGAAATGCAATACTTAAACATGCATAATTTTGGATTGATTTTTAACAATACTTGGCTTTCATTTTGTTTTTCACGTGTTAAAAAGCCAGTTGATGTTTCACCAATGACTTGTGATTTTGGATGATCTTTTGTCCATTTAACTAAAGGAGGTTAATTTGGATCATATTCAGGTATCACTTCACAATTAACTTCTTCATCTTTAGAATAATCACCATTACCTTCACGTAAATGACTCTCTCCATGTACATTAGCATCACCAATTTTTGGATTCTCCCCTGGATTTCTGCTTCACTATTTGGATTATTAGAATTAATAGGCTCTTCTTCACGCGATTTTATATTTTGAAAAACTTGCTCTTCATTAACAATAACCTCCGCCTTAAACGGATCATTTGTATTTTGTGAAGAACCACTCTCCCCCTCAACTTGCTTCACAAAATCAATCATCTTTTGATTAGATTTAGATTTCTTATTAAGAAAGAAAACTCGTGTAAATCGAGAAAAATCATCAACAATAACAAGAATGTACTTATTACCATTGATGCTCTCAATCAATGACGGACCCCCACAGATCTATGTGAGTTAATTCAAGTGGCTCAGTGATCAGTTAATGGCTTTTTCTACTTTGCTTTCCCATTTCACAAGAAGCACAAAGATGTTCTTTATCGTACTTCTGTAATGGAAGGCCTCAGGAAAAATCACCCAGATCTAACTTGTCAATATCCTTGAAGTTCAAATGTTATAGTCTTCGGTGCAATAACATGATGGTTTTTCTATGTTATAATCAAACGAATATTTGCACAATGGAATTTACAAAATCACTTATGGGCACATGAAACCTAGAAGACTATGAAATTTTCTCAAGTAATAGAAACATAATTTATGAAACAAACTTTTAACCAATGTAAATTGAAAATTACAATTTTAAAACACATATCTTTTGCAACAATCGAATAATGAAAACAATCCTCTTAAGTTTTTCCTTGAAAAGAAAGCACCAACAATGTGGATGCCTCTAATGGTTCACTCACAAACCCTAGAAAACCGTGGGATTGTAAATATGGAGAAAGGAAGAAGAAAAAATAGATTTCATTATGTATTGTGTAGGGATCGACTTTAGCAAGGGTTAGGACCATATTTACAGCTGCTAGAAACCCTGATTTGAATACTAAAATTATAATATTTTAACCTAATTCAAATTTGCTTCCTTATCTACTATTGGAGGCTTCAGAAATAATTTTGGAACCTCTTCAAAACCGTCCAAGCATAGGGACGTTAGAATTGTGTCCTTTGCTTAACTATTGAACAGTTGCAACTCAACCTTTGCACGCTTAATTAAATCTAACTAATCCATAATTTATTTCCAATTAATTCGAATTTATTTCCAATTAATTCTAATTAATTATTAATTATT